ATAATGTATTGGCTTTTGACCCTGAAAGTCACTATTTCGTGGTCCAAGAGACGGTTAATAATAGGAATTTTCAGCCACTTACTCATTTCAATGTCAACCTCCAAAAACAAACTTGTGACTGTGGGAAATTTCAAACTTTTCATCTGCCTTGCTCACATGCTATTGCGGCTCGTTCTCACATTAACCAAGACTATACTAAGTTTATCCCTCATATGTATAGAGTTATAGACGTCTTCAAAGTTCACCTGCAAAGTTTCATCGGTGTTCCCCAAGAAGATAGATGGCCTCCATATTTGGCCAATATTATTTTGCATGACGAAAGGATGCGACAAAACAAAAAAGGTCGCCCGAACAGTACTCGCATTAGAACTGAAATAGAAACTGTTGAGAAAATAAAAAGACGATGCGGAATCTGTCAACATCGCCTCAACAATGCAGGCCCTTCTAACTAATTTTACCGATGTATTGTTATTTATAAGTACTTTTAATCGTATTTTTTACTTAGTAATTTGATTGTAATTGTTAATTTTTATTATTTAATAATAATTTTATTATTTAATTGTAATTGTTAATTTATAATTATTTGTTTTTTAATTAATATTTTATTAATTAATTATATGATTAAATAGTTTATTAAACTATTTATAATTAATTAATAAAATTATATAATAAAAATAATTATTATATATAACAGAAAAATTAAAAAACAAATTTTAAAAAAAAGCACCTTCACGCCATTTGAAATAGCGCCAGCCTACTAGCTGTATAAAGGGTGAGACTCTCGCGCCATTTCAAATGGCGTAAACCCTTATGTGCGTGGCATATTGGACATTTTATTTCAGTATGTGGCATTTTGGGTTTTTTTTCCAGGCGTGGCATGCAGGAAAAAAATTATTTTCTAAATGTTGTAATATCTTCACTTTACTCGAGGGTGTCATTGATATAAGAGACTTACAAGAAGGCGTCTTTATATTGTGGACACAATACATGCAACATTAATAAAGGCACATGATACACTTCAGTATATGAGGCAAAGGATGGGCAAAGGTGTGCGACATTTTTGGTAAAGGTGGAAAGAGCAACAGTTTACTGATGCGAGTAACCCTTACTAGAAGATTTTTTGGACTTTGAAAGGGGAGGATTCAGATAAAGTGAGTTGACTTGCTCAAAGAATAATGATGACCACTTGCTAGAATTATTACTAGGAGTTGGTTTGACTTCTTTGAAACACTTTTAATTTTTTTTGGAAATTTCTTATTTCACCTTATGGTTTTCTTATGCACTACGCAAAATTTCGTAAATATCTATCAAAATCGAAAATATATTTCGGGTGCGCACCATGCTAGGAATAAATTTTATGAAAATGTTGAACGCAAACCGGAAATATATTTCCGGTTGCACCTCAAATACAATTGTGGCCTAGGAATCCAAACTACATGTAATATATATATTGGAGATTCAATTACGGTAGAAATCGAAAATATATTTCCGATTTTAGTTGCGATTTAAACGTGCCATAACTCTTCCCCTCACTCATTATAGAATTATTTTCAAAACAACAAAAACATAACAAACAAAAACTCATTTCTCTCAAACACATTGTTACAAAATCAAACCAAATTGGCAAAAAATTTGTCACAAATCGTCAAGCATCGGTTAACTCAAGTGTCCAACCACATTCAATCAAGGAAAATCAACAATTGTAAGTTGTTTTTTAGTTTTTTAGAGTTCATGTAATTTCTACTCAAATTAGCGATTTAGATTAGAAATTGGGATTTTGTTGTTTATTTTCAATATTAGGCATCATTAATTAACGGTTGGAAGTCTCATTTTGATGATCAATGACATTCTGTTTGAGGTTATTCCCGCCTCTACTTCGCCATTGACGGAGCTTGAAATTGCAGGTCGTACTGGAAATGCATTTCCAGTTTTCCTTTTGAACAAAACCAGAAATGCATTTTCGATTTTAGTTTGTTTCTATTTCCCCATCATTTTGAACAGTGGTCCTTATGTTAACGTTTTTTTCGTACTTCTACAAGATTAATGGCTAGAGACCATCTAGATTGAGGCACAGTCGACTTGCATAACATGCTTCTGTGCGGAGAGAAATGAGCCAGGTATCCCAAGCTATGATGCATGCGCGTACTATAGCCTCTGCCTCTGGTGTTCCCGTTTCTACTCCGGCTTCATCGTCTTCCCACAGCAGGCGAGATTCTCCAGTTCATCACTCCCCGCCTCCTTCCTCCCGTAGACGCACTTCCTCACTGATGGTTTTTGAGGTAGGAGAGGCATTCAGTTCCCAACCGACACCTTAGGCCCAACCACAACCTTCATCCCAGACACTTGAGGCGTCCTAGGCACTTGAGCCAGCACCTGAGCAGGAACCTCAGACATCGCAGGCACCAGAGACGACACCTGCGGCGCCTCAGAGTTTTGGAGGAGGACTGTCTGATGTATCTCTGCTGCCTCTGTACCCGAACTATGTTGCTAGATATATATGAGACGGAGAGGTATGAATTTTGACTTGTTTCTTCTATTACATTTTTATTATGAATTTTTGTTGAATGATCAGATCCACTAGTGGAACTGAGGAGCTGCTTGTTTGGTGTACTTGTATACAAAACTGTCTAAGGGATGTAAGTGGAAGACGAAGCAGATGATCGACAATATCACACTTTTGACGGTAAAATTTCTTGGTTTTTATGGCGTTTTGTTAATTATTGCGATCTTATTACTAATTAGTAATTATTGTTATTTCAAGACTGGATTCTAAAGCACTTCCCCGCATCTTGGGTTGGTCACTAGCTACGGATTATACTGAAGCTAAGTTGAGTGCCACTGCATACGACCCGCTCTGAGGGAACCAGGCGACCGAGTCGTTTCGGGTGTATATTGATCGGCTGGTGTTTGAGGACATACACTTTCATTCATATCATGATCATTGTGTCACAATATCATTTGATGATGTTGTGTTGTTTACAAGATGGTTGGCTTGCGGGTCGTACAAGATGGCTGCTTATATGCCTGAGTGCGTCATGTGTCAGTTCGGGTACACCTAAGACTAGGGGTGTTCAAAACCAAACCGGCTCAATAGAAAACCGCAAAACCGGACCAAACTGAAACTACAAAAAAATCACATTTGATTCGGATGTGCTTGGGTCATTTTCTAAGGAACCGCGCGGTTCAGTTTGATTTGCGATTTATATTTTACAAACCGAACCAAACCAAACAAAACTGCATTATGTTATAAAATCTTACTAACCAATATATACTTCTTTAATTCTTTAGAGAAATCAACATGTATTATGTGTATATTTTATCATACTTTGTATGATGTTTATTTTAATTTACAAATCATAAAAAAATAAAATATTATTCATTTATAAATACTATTTTCACAAAATATATTTTATCGTATTCTTTATATAATATTTATTTGAGAATGCAATCTTGTCTATATAATTTTTTAGATTTAGATAAAATTATAATACATAATTTTATGTATCAAATTACAAACTTATTTTGACAATTATAAATTTTATTATGGTAATGCATGAACAATTAAACACAAAATTATATTTTCCTCTACATGTGTATGTATGGCTTAATATTTTTTTTGTAGAAAACCGAACCAACTGAACCAATTCAAACCGCATTAGTTTGGTTTGGTTTTATTTTGATTTATTTTTAAAAATCAACCGAACCAAACTGAATCACATATTTTTTCTCTTGCGTTTCGAGTGATTTTTTGCTTCAAAACCGCACCACGAACACCCCATACGTAGGATATTCCTCAAGATCCTGCTATATCTACTCCTCCTCTGGTGAAACGCGGGGATATGAATGCTTTGTTTGATGATTATGAGAATCATCTTGTTTCAGATGAGACCTAGAATACCATTGCTCTAGACGACTAGAGCTACGTGGACAGTTATATCATATGGTTCTTCACGGATACTTGGTACAAGATGCTCCTGGAAACCCCCCGAAGCCAGCTCATCAGGAGATTCTAGAGGAGGAGCAAGCACAGACCGATCATGTCATTGATGTGTTGTCTAGATATCGTTGTATCATGGATATTGCGCAGGCGGGTATTGATGGAGGTTTATTTCCTGATGGCTCCGATGTTAGAGGTGTTCTGGATGCCATCATGGCGGAGACTCGGGAGACTCTACAGTACAAGAGACAACAGAGGAACGTCAGGAGGGTGACCGACCGACTCAGAGTCCACCATACTCAGTAGTCTTCGATGTTGTATATGTATTTTGGTTATCGTTTATTTATTGTATTTGAATAATATTTTGGACTACCCCCTATATTGATTACGAGCACCTTTTGTACTGTTTACTGATATCTGTTTATATATGTCTTTGTAGTATGTTTTGTTGTATATGTCTTTGTATTCAATATGAAACAACGCGCAAAAAGACCCACTGCCAACATAAGTCTTTCTAGTTCTGTCTGCACAGAAACTGGAAATACATATCCGGTTTACTTCAGAAATATATTTCCGATTTCTAGACAACATTTAACAGAAAAAAGTACGCACTAAAAATATATTTTCGATTTCCAAGGATATTTTAGAAAATGCATAAGGTATTTTTCTTTAGACTATATGATGAAAAGAAAAATTCTCATTTTTTACCAATTCCTCCGCTCTTTGATGTGCATCTTCCTGTTACAATCAAACCCAGTTTATTGATAAGGGAGCGTCCGAAAAATCAGAGGTGGCGAAAAGATATTTTTAAATTTCCATAAGATTTGAGGAAAAATATAGTGTAATATGCAACTCCTTTTCTTTTTCACCTCAACTAAAAAAGAAAAAAGACTATTGAATTGGAATAATTACATGCACTAAATGTCGGAATACGTTTCACAGTTGCTTTGCGTCCATAGCAAAGTACTTTGTTACATTGTAAAAAGATAAATAGTAAATTGCACAAGTATCCAACTCTAAGCTCCAAAATGAAGGTGAAGCATAGCAAATGGATCCTAACACCTTATATTCCATTAAGAGTGACAACAACTCTTCGTGAGGTAGGATGATCCCGGTGCTCACACAGCCATATACCCTGAAACATAAACCGAAGAATAAATAATGGGTTAATATTACTCCCTTTCTAAAATATGTGTGACATTTAAAAAACAAATTTGTCTTAAAATATTAAAATATTGTCACCGTATATTATCAATACAATTTTATATTTAATCTTTCAATTATAATCTCTAATAAATATTTTTAATTTATTTTTTTTTTCCACTTAACATTAATGTTAATTTGAATACACCAATAATTAATCAAAATAGTTTGATAAAATCATTATTCTATCTCTTTCATTTATTATTATTTCTTAATATGTGTGAAATAATCAATTACGACAAATAATATAAGACAGAGGGATAATAACTCTAATGTTACATTTATCCAACATGAGGAAATTTTTTTCAAATATGAGACATTTGCAAGAGGAATTAATATGTCACCTCCCTCTTATACATAACACCCCCAAATGGATGAAAAGACTAAATTATCCATACTCAAATATTTTTCAAAAATTCAAAATTTCCATGACCAACCCTCCAAATGGCGATACCAGACATTTCAAGGCGACACCGAAAGTTTAATGAGACAGTAAGAAATTTCCGATATATTTGCGAAATATCCAATATTTTGTACCGAAATTTTTGAAATTTCCGGTGTAAACATTTTTCTTTTGTACCCGAAATTTCAAAATTCCCGAAACTTTACATGATACCGGAAATTTTGAAATTTCTGGTAGTTCAATTTTAAAAGTTCAAATTGTCACGTAAATTTGAAATTTCCAGTTTATCGAAAATTTCAAATGCACTACCAGAAATTTCCTCTTACCGAAAATTTGATAGGAGTGTAACAGAAATTTGTTCTGTACCAGAAATTTCATCCCTTTTATCAGAAATTTCGTCCGGAAATTATTTGTATCTCATCAAGAACAAAACTGAAATAAATAAAATTGAGTGGCATGTTTAATATTGGGGATCACATGTTAATTCCTCCATTCGCAAGGAGTAACCAAAGAATTATCCATCTCAACCAACTATTAATCACGCATATCCTATATCATAAAAGTATCCTATATCATAAAAGTATTTGATACTTTGACGCCAACACGTAATACAAGCAAATAAAATACGACGGTAGATACTAAATGCTATCATAATCATAATGAATGTGTTGTGTATTATCATTATCAACTTTGCCGATGAAAACCGCAATACACAAGAAATGAAATTTTGCAGAGCACAATTTTTTTGTAGCAAATTAAATTGAACTGCTGCCATTACCCACATCATGGACAAGCAATGCCTAAGAAAATCAGTTTCCAATCGGCTCTTGTATACAGATCACCAATGTCATGTTTTGTCGATAACAAACAGTCCTAATATAAAACCTGGTCCTTGTGGTTTTCTACAGATAAATATTATTTGAGAATTCAAGTGTCTGTAGTTAGAGAATTTATTACTTTCAGATCAAAATGTGTGAAATGCAAAAGTGGTTGAGAAACATCACATGGATAGTGTAGGAACAACCAATCTTGACATGTAATGTTGTACTGTTCTGTTATTTCATTTTTTGGGTGAAATATCAGAAGATTTTCACAATCATAAATATAATTAAACTATTAAACAGTGTATTCTATCCCAATGATTAATTGATTATGAAATATATCTACCAATCACTAAGAATATGGCATCAATGAGAAATTACTGCAGACAATAACTTTTGAAACACAATCGACAATGAAAACATCTATTCAATTCCTTGAATGTACATGTGAAATGAACAAGATACATGTAGCCGTAGATTTTTCATTCTGGGTCATGATTTTTATAAGAACTTGGTCAGCAAATGAAATGAATAATAATTCATGTGTGTGAGAAATAGTCGTAGTAAGCCTCTATTAGTCTGTTAAAGGAGGGAAAATAGGGATAATTAGGTATTATGTTAGTTATCCTTATCAGTTAGTTACTGTTGTTTCTGTCAAGGATAATTAGGAATTTAGTTATCCTTATATCAGTTAGTTAGTTTGTTATATTTATTGTTGTAATGTTGTCAGTTAGGATGTTAGTTGATTTGTTATTTTTTCTGTTTGAAGATTCTTCAGTTTTAAGTGCAGGGAAGTCATTATATAGGACTACCCTCTATATCTTTAAGGACATCTTTGAATATTTTTAGCTTTGACTGGAAAATTTTCAATGTAAGGGGAGTATCTTCCTTGTGTATTTTCCTATTTCAAATCAATAAAAATACAGGGAAGAACAGTTCCCTATCTTCCTATGTTCTTTTTCAATAGTATCGTAACAGTTAGTCCAAACTGCTGGAACCTCAACAGCCATATGTGAGAAGCTGAGTGCCATGAAAACTTGTATGAACACCATAGAAAAATGGGTTAGCAGAACAGACAATCGGATGCAATATTCAAAGACAAACGTGAAAAAAAATTGACGGACGGGATGAACGAGATGAAGACCGATATACCAGATATGCACTGTGTCGCTGAGTTTTTACTGGAATTCAAGAAACAATCAAGATTGAACTCGGAAGTGAAAGAGTCTATCAAGAATGGCAAACCCGGAGAAGAGTACTCAGGAAAAGAAGATTCGGATGAAGAAACAATTGGCATACCACATTTTGATTAAAGAAAGTTGAATTACCATCTTTGAAGAGAACGGCCCTTTTGTGTGGCTGAACAGAGCAGAGAAATTTTTGGCAATACAGAAGGTCCCACAGAAAGATTGACTCCATCCTGCACATATCAGTATGGTAGACAACACCATCCACTGGTTCTAGTTTTGGCAAGACAAGGTCAAGAGAGCAACAGGGGAGTAATATGCGGAGGCGTTGATGTGAAGATTTGGAGGAGAATGTCGAGGGACGGTGTACCAGCGTTTATCCACCATTATATAACACGCCAACATAGACAATTACTTCCATGAGTTTTAGATCCTAATTGCGCAAGTCAAAACAATAGCATGAGAGCAATTAGTAGGGTACTATATGGCTAGACTTTGCAAGAACAAATGCAATCTTATTCAACCTCACAATCCCAGAGAACTGATTCACGTCGTGGAGATTGCGCGTGACGTAGAAGATGCATTCAAGGAACCCAGATTCAACGGCAGTTTCAATAATCGCAATGGGAAGTCTAGTTATCTCTACCCAAGAATAGGGGAAACTGTCCCAGGGTCAACCCGAACGAGAAACCCATAGATTCTCTAAATGCAAACTACTCGAGTTGTGGAGAACCTGGATCAGGACAATCTTCTGCAAAAATAGGCGGTAGCTGATAGCCGGAACAGGGAGTAACCAAATTGCCCCCTGCTCGGAACACCTCAAACGCCTCGAAGCACATGCGTGCTTTCATTGTAGCCAACCGTTTGGTCCTGGACATCGTTGTCCAGAAAAGAACTCGGGGGCCATCTTGGCCTACTAGCCAGTTTACTATCCAGTCCAAGAACTAGGATCTCGGGTTATATAACAGGCAAACCATTCAACAAGTTTTAATTTAATGGTATAAAAAAACAACATATGAGGCTACGTGGAAAGTTGTAACTACAATCCAACAACAATTCCCACCTTCAATCTTGAGGACAAGGTTCGTCATCGAGGGGTGGTACTGTTAGGAATAGTCAAAAGTAACTTCTTTTAGTCTATTGTAGAGGGGGAAATAGGGATGATAAGGATAATTAGAAATTGTGTTATTAATCATTATCAGCTAGTCAGTTACTGTTGTTGTTGTTGTTAGGGGTAATAAGGATATTTAAGAATTATGTTAGTTATACTTATCAGTTAGTTTTTTTTTACACTAAAATCAGTTCGTTAGTTACTGATGTTGCTGGATGATAGTTAATTGTTGTTTTTTCGGTTTGAAGATCCTTACTCTGGATGAAGCATTTTAAATTTTTAATGATGGAAAATAATTTTTTGAAGGAATTTAAAATGACTCGACTAAAATCCATTATTTAGATTAAAAAAATATAGAGAATGGTTAAAATGATGTAAATTGGTAGGGAGGACCACGGTTCAATCTCCCGCAACTGCGATCGGGAGGGAGGGGACTGGAACCACTTGATGCCAGAACTAACCCCCGAACCGGACTATACCGGTGGTGAAAACCAAAAAAAAAATTAAGGAATTTCAAATGACATCAAAAAATAAAGACTTTGAAATTGCTCCTTCACTCTATGTAACGTGAATTTTAAATTGTTGATTATTAATTCCTCAAGTTTTGCAAGATGGTTCTCATATTTTATGAAAATTTCAAATTGACCCCCAAATTTTTTGAAAAACTGCAAATAAGTCTCTAATAGTTTTCAGAATTTGCAAATTGGTTCCTATTTTTCATAATTTAAATTTGGACCAAAATTTTTTAAATTTATGTAAATAACCCTAAAAATGTAACAATTAATCATTTTAATACTCCTTCCAAACAAAAGAATTTATAAATGAATGAATTTCAATTGAATCATTTGAATTGCTAAGAATTTTGAATTTCTTAAAAATTTCCAATTCCCTCGTCCAAACACACTCTAAGGCTTTTGTGCAGGGAAGTCATTATATAAGACTGCCCTTTCTATCTTTAGAGGCATCTTTGAATATTTTTAGCTTTGACTCGAAAATTTTCAGTGTAAGGGGAGGAGTATCTTCCTCTGTATTTTTCTTATTTCAAATCAATAAAACTGTAGGGATGGACAATTCCCTTTCCTTCCGTGTTCTTTTCAATAGAACCGTAACAATTTGCTCATGAATTTCAAAAACTTTACGAGGCAACATACTGAAATTGAATAATAAATTCGGGTTTTAAAATTTCTTTTTCTGTATATTGACCTACAAGGTCTATAGGTAAATCACTACAGAAGTAAATCTAGTTACCTGCCAAGTTCCCATGTTAAGTTTTCCATTTGTAATCGGTATCCTGAAAATACATGACATTGGTAGATGATAAGATAATGATAATTTTTCAGCATAATGAATCAATCTGAAATGTGAAGTATTTCTTACGTGAGTGCACAACCAAACATTGATGATTTAATATGAGCCGGCATGTCATCATGGCCTACAAAATTCCAAAACCAAAGAAAATTTGTTGTTGGATAGTTGAAAAATATAACATATCGGGGGAAAACGAGTAAACTATATGTGGAAAACTAGCAGCAGCATTATTAATTTATTATGTAATAATTAATAAGAAGGTTGTCTACCTCGAGAGTCTAAGTAAACTTGTGAATCTTCCTAGACTCAACTATTAACTCGGAATTACATGTTTAAAACAAAAAACAATGATTAAGACACATATTATTCATAGTATGCAAACACAAATTTAACACCACGTGCATAGTAAGTATTGAGTATTCAACATTCTAAAGCAAACCCCAAGAACAAAATTTAAATGCTTAGTAAGCAACTAATAAATTAAACTGAGATGGGTCCATAGAACAGACCAGAACCAAACCAAATTAGACATGGCGTGGAAAATCAAAATTAATGGACAAGTTCTCAAATCACAAAGTTCAAATTTAAGAGAATGAAGGATGGTGGACTGGGTTCCCTCATTGGTGCAGGATTCAGCTCAGGGGAGCTAGGTTTCAACACAAAAGTTGGTTTCATTGCAAACTTCCAACAATGGGTTTGTTTGTGTTTGCTGATACCTCTTTATACTAGGAACTATGGGGTTGAGACTTAACACAACACTTTTCACCTCCTTTGCAAATGATTTACATAGAGATATTAGATGCATTATTTGGAGCTGAGTGCTACAACTTCTAGACTAAAGTTTAGTACACTATGGAGCTTTATAATTTAGTTGCTGCAATAACTTGCAAAAAAGAAAAAATTTCATTATTGAAGCTAGATCAAATAATTGTTTAAAGGATATCAATATTTAGCATGTAAAAAATTCATAAAATTAAATCTCAGTTACCCTCTAGAGTGTGCTTCCAAGGTGCAGATGAACCCTGTAGAACACACAAAATTTACAATAACACATTATGATTAAAGAAGAAGACACCAACGAATCAATAAATGAATATTGATAAAGAGTAAAACCTCGGGAACAATTCGATTGAGGAACGTCTCAGTATCATCGCGAACATCAGTATCGTAATTCTCATTGATTGTAAGTGAAGCACTCGTGTGCTGCACTGTGATTCCACACCACAAGTTCCAACTTCATTTCAACGCAAATCCAAATTGAAAAAAAAAGGAAAGAATGATATTGTTATTCACAAGCTATTATACTCACGGAAGAGATGAGCGAGACCGCACTTGAATCCCGAAAGGTCATGCTCAATTTCTTTCGCAATCTGAAGAATAGTTAGGGTTTGATGAATGAGTAATAACTAAATGAAAAATGAAATTGGGGGAAAATATGAGAGTGAGATTGGGAGGGACCTTTGGAGTGACGAGATGACAGCCGCGTTTGTAAGGAGGAAGAGCGATGGTTTTTTGGGCCCACTTGGGTGCGGTGGCTTCTGCCATGGATTCCTTTGTCTTCACGGTGGGGAGTTGCGATTTCACGCTGAATGGGAACTTTGCTACGCACAGTGATGACACCTGCATGATTCGTTGATTCGTAGCAAACTATAACTCCAGAAAGAGAAAAAAATAAAGATTAAAAAATTAAATTAGTTCTCATTGATTGCTTAAGTACCAAACTTGTGGACAAGACAAGAGGTCAGGATACTCCTTAATACATACCAATTTATAAGAAGAAGTAAAAAGGCTTAAATATTCTTTTAGTTTTTTTATGTCCAATTTTTGTTGGATATACTCTTTCTTATCAAATAGACCGGTTAAAAAAAGCTGAGTTGGGCGATGATGACGACTTAAATTATATTTTATTATTTTTATATTTTTTTTAATAACACACGTGTAAATGTCATTTTTAGAATTTATTAAAGAGGGGCTAAATAAAAAAAAAATTATTTTCGTTTTCTTTCCTCTCTCTTCGCCATTGTAAGTTGTTCTTCTTCTCGGCACCTTCAACATCCAAATGGCCATGGCTTCTTCTTCGTCGGTCAACTCTCAACACGTTCAAGCACCGATTTGTGGTTGCAATAGAAATATGAAATGTTTATGTCGAACTCTGTTGAAAATTCTAAAAGGAGATTTTGGAAGTGTCAAAATTCAAGGTTAATGTCTGGTTGCAAGTTGTTCATTTGTGATGATGACCTTGAACGAAATCCACATAGTGATCCTAGAAGTTTAAGTGGATGCAACTGCTCGGATATGTTGAAGGATTTAGGGTCTATGGTTAAGGAGATTGAGATTGGCAAAAAGGCAAATATGAAGATTAAGTTGGAGAATGAGAAGAGAAAAACGACTTTGTTGAAGTTATTGTTGGTTGTGTAATGGGGGTTCTTCTTTGCTTATCACAAATTATGGTGAATCCCATTTGTTTATATTTGTTTGTTGTTTTTTTATTTTAGTCCTTGTAACATTAATGTATTTTGAAATTAGTTCATGTACCATATGATGAATGAAAAAAATGTTTTAGTCTTGGACGGTATATGTTTGCAATTTTATTGCTTCTCATGTTTTGAATTGTGCATAAACCAAACTTGATAATGTGCGTAAAAGCCAAATTGGTACTAGACCATTTCAATTGTGCATAAATTAAACTTGATAATGTGCATAAAAGTCAAATTGGTACTAAGCCATTTCAATTATACATAAAACAAACTTGATAATGTATCCAAAATATACAATATATCATAAACATAAAGGCTTAAGCCAAAATACATGCTTGCATTCAAAACATAAAGGTTCAAACTCTAAGACAAAAAATACATAATATAAAACAACAAGGCTTAAGTTAAAGTACATGATGTAGTAATGTTATCCAAAAATTATATAAGTCAAAGCAGATCTAATGTCTATAATTTCCATGGTTGTGCAGGGTTACTTCCTTCCCCTTTGAACTTTTTGCATTTGAGTACCATTACTCTATCACTTCTCCTCAACTCCAACTTCCTTGCAACATTTTGTTTGGGTTGCTTTGCCTACAAAGACACAATAAAAATATATACAATTATGCTAATATCAATAAATATGAGAACATACACCTTATCTCAATTAGTCAGTAACATACTCAACTGGTTTAGGATTTCAATGAGGCGCATAAACAAGTTCCTTAAGTGGAAGTGCATGAACAGGTTTATGAGGTGTAGGGTCAACCTCTTGAACAGGTGTAGACAAAATGTAATTTGGTTGTGAGTCACCAACTCTTTGTGAAGTCATTACAGGTGCAACCTCAATAGTTGAAACATGGTCACTAGCAACTTGAGGTGGAGTTGGAGTTTGGGAAGTGAGATCATTGACGTTGGGTTGAGGTTGTGTTGTTTCAAAAGCTGCAGAAAGATATACTGCAAGCATTTCAAACTCTTGGTCCACATCACATTGTGTTTTAGGTTGTTGTTCAATTGAAGGTTCATCTTAAAGTTGTTGTTGTTCAATAGAAGCTTCACCTTCAACATGAGTTATTTGTTCTGCTATAAATCCAAGTTGTGTTGTTTGTGTAGCTTTTTTTTTGTTTTTTCTGCACATAGAATGATGCAATCAATATCACTTTCAAACAATTAGTAAGAATACATATTTGCTTCACATGCTTGTATATATGTGGCCTTTTTGTAGCCATCATCAAATCTCTTATCGGTGTGCCACCACCAAACTTCTTTTTGAAATTGGCATATAAATGTCTAAGACAAAGCCTATGCTCCACCCTCTCAAACATCTCTTCAAATGCATGAATTAAGCCCTTGAAATAAAAAAAAAGCAATCATATAAGGGACTTATTTCAAATAAACATAACAATTACACATATGAAATCCACACAAACATTTCATTGTCAGGGACCTATTCCAAAACAAACTGACATATTCAGGGATGAATTCTAGAAAATCATTTATACTTCAGAGACCAAATCAAAACAATTACATTACTTATGGATGAGTTACCAAAGTCAAACATTAGTAAGGGATGAATTTCAAAAAATATATATAGATATGAAAAGTACCTTTTGCTGGTCTGATATGAATATTCATATTTTATCTTGTCTAATGTTTTCCAAAAGCAAGGTCAGGAACCACCTCCATGATTCTTTTGTCTCAGTATCACATACACCAAAAGTCAATGGGTAATATTGGTCGTTAGGATCCCTTCCAATAACAACAAGCAAGGTGCCTCCATATTTGGTTTTTAGGTGAAATCCATCAACACCAATGAATGGCCTGCAAGTATTGGTGAATCCATTCTTTACTCCATCAAAGCAAAAATAAAAGCAACCAAATTTGGGTTGTATTGTGGAACCAACTCTTATGATATTAATTTTGCAGGTGTTCCTTGCATTGACCCTCCTTAACACTACAAAAGGCCTCCACAATATTGTATATTACTTTGTTGCATCACCTTCAACCAAAGCTTTTTCAATTTTCTTAGCCTTCCATGCGTTGCTCATAGTCATACCTACATAGTAAGTACTCCTAATCCCAGAGACAATATCAAGAAGCTTTATTCCATCAGATGAAGTCATCCTAGCCGCCACAATTTTGGAAATCCACTTGGAGTTAACAGTGGTGTTATTCAAAACCCTACCACACGTGTAAGCACCAATCCATTTCTTCATTATATGCGTGTGCTTATTCCTCACTTTACTAACAAGATCCAAAAACCCACAACTGCCCTTGCAAAATACTATCACTCTAATCTTGTCATTGTTAACATACTTTATCTCTCTTCCATTTAATAATGATCTTTCAATAATTGCCTCCTTAAATTCACGCATATACAAACTCCAAACCAGCTTTGAACTTGTAGTCCTTTCCTAACTCCTCCATCTTAAACTTAGGATATTTTAGTCCTTTATCTTCATCTGATGCATCAGGATCACTACTCTCAAGATCATCACTTACATAATTAGTTTCAAGGTCTTCATTACCAACACTAACTTCACTTGGTGAACCTCCATTGTCATCAACATTTCTTATCTTTGTTGGAGTTATCCTATGTTTCCTAGCTATCTACTTAACCCTTCCAACTGGTTTGTCTACAACATCAAATCTATCATCTAAGCCAATGGCCCTTTCATCCTCACTGTCCTCAAATGATAAACCATTATAATCACTATCATCACTGCCATCTCCTTCAACACCATCAAGGTTTTCATCAACATTTTCAGTATCACCCTCAAGATTTACATTGGCATATTCATCAACCTTGGCAGATTCGTCAACATTTGCAACTTCATCAACATTGACATTTCCAGCATTAACATTATCAGGAGAATTAAAAAAATCTTACAAACATAAAATGTTAGATTCTTCATTATTTCAAGGAAGATTCTTCATGAATTAGACATAATGTTTTAATTCTCCTTTTTTATTTTTTATTTTTATTTTTATTTTTTATTTTGAGATGGTAAATGAAAATCGGCTCACATTTCATGGTTAAACTAATAAATCACATTTCTTTATTCTCTTTATGAGTGCATTAATATCAAGGTCTTAAAATTTCTACAAGGATGCATAACTGATGTATTGTCTTGAACTAGTTTGATAAACTTTTATGCTGGGAATTTTACAATTCATATCTGAACAAGTTCGATAAACTTTTGGCAATGAAGAAGAAAACACGTAGTTGATGTATTGTCCTGCAATAGAGAGAATTCATAGTTTTTTTGTATGAAGAGAATTCCTAGTTATTACTCGTGGGTAAATAAAGATTTCAATTCAAGGAAAAATAATAAATTAAGTGATCTGGAAATCCGAGAAGCTATGGCTTACAGTGTTAGGAATATTCTTTCTTAACTTGGTTTCTACAATCAAATCTCTAAATTTAAACCATATTCCAATTTTGAAACCTATGAAATACGAACATTTTGTATACTATTATTATAAAAAAATACTGAACACATGAGATAATATGTAGAGCAAGATTTTAATACTAAAATGTTAACTCAATTATATATTTTATTAGCTACTTAACTATTTTCCAAAACTTTGTTGAGCTATATATTTCAACAAATTTGACCGTATTTTCAACTTCATTATGCATCTCACGACCATTAGCTCGCTTAATAGCAGAATCATTAAAACTTTTTTCAGCAGGGCGCACGATCTAACCAAATAATATTATAGAACTAAACCTAACTTTTTTGGTGTTGCTATTGTGGATATCGATTAACTTTGATGGAACAAAAGTCTAAAATACCACGATTATCATATATATGACTGATAATGTTTATCGTAGTAGACACATTATCATATCCTTTCTTTGAACTTTTCTCAAATGAACTGTCTTTCAAAGAGTTGGAAGAAGTGGATCTAGAAAAATGATTTTGCTTGACTCCCAACATGCGATCAAAATTCAATGGTGTTTGGTTCAAGGGTTTCATTGAAAAATTACTGAAATCTACCAATGAAACATAATAAACTCTTTATGCATCACTTAATAAGCCAAACCCTTTAGCAACCCTTATCTTTTTTTATGGGGGGAAATTATTAATGCATGAGAGGTATGCTAAAAACAGGTTCAACCTACCACGAACTTACATGCTTTAGATT